ACTGAATGGTTTAAAATTAAGAAAGGTGTGCGACAGGGTTGTATTCTTTCACCATACGTATTCAACCTGTATGCTGAGCAAATAATACGAGAAGCTGGGTTCTATGAAGAAATACGTGGTGTCAAGTATTTCATTAAGACTCATTAACAACCTGTGATATGCAGATGATCCAACCTTGCTTGCTGAAAGTGAAGAGGACTTGAAACATATACTTATGAAGATCACAGAGCACAGCCTTCCGTATGGATTGCATCTCAGTGTCAAGATAGCAAAACTCCTCACACTGTTCACCGTGACCCTATAAGACAGAGTAGAACTGCCTGATAGTGTCCAAGGCTGTAGTCTTTATGCCACACCTTTCTCTCATGGAGTAGTTGGTGGGTTTGAACCATTGACCTTTTAAGTAGCAGCAGAGTACTTAACCACTGTACCACCAAGGCAATTCTGTAGACTACCAGAAGACTAGAAAGCAGGTATGTAGACTACCAGAAGACTAGAAAGCAGGGTCTCAAATTGGTACTGTACACCATTGTTAACTTCAGAACTAGTCACAATAGCCAAAAGGTGTAGACAACCAAATGTCCAACAACCTATGAATGAATGCACAAATATACCATGTAGTATTATTCTTCAATAGATAGGAATGTAGTAGAATATATGCTAAGCCATGGATGAACCTTGAAAACATCATGCTAAGTGAAATAAACCAGATTAAAAAAACAAATATTGTATGATGTTGTTTATATGAAATGTAATTCTTAGATTCATGGTTACTATGGGCCTGAGAGAAAGGAGAATGAACAATTTTTGCCTAATTGGTACAGAGTTTCTCTTTGAGTTGTTGAAGAAGTGTTAGATACAAATAATGGTGGTGCTTCCACAATGTTTTAACTGTGATCAATGCCATTGAATTGTTCACTTGAAAATGGTTACAATGGGAAATTTTATGTTTTATTTATATCAATCATAATAAAAGAATACATTGATAGTAGCAGTGTGGCTTTACTTCTATCTATGTCTTTACCTTTAACTTATTATTTTAGAAGTCACCTCATAAATCTGTTCCCCAGCCATCAAGTTCATTCCAACTCAGTGACTGTTAAGATGTAAATTTTTTTTAATGCTTTATTGTGAATTATATGATCGTTTACATGAGAGAACCCTCAGTTCCATATTCATTCCATCGTATATCATTACATTGCCATGGTTCCAATCCCCTCCATGCATCGTCTTCCAACCAAAGGTCATATCCTAGAAGCCCGTGCTCTACACTCCTCCCTCCCCCCTCAGTCTTCGGCCCACAGTTCCTCTCCCTCTCTGGATCCAAAGTCCCCAGCTGCTTCATCCCTCCATGTCATCATCTCTGTCTCCATCTCAGGCATCCCCGGTTCTCTGGGTGGGGTCCCGTTCTTGGTTCTTATCCATTGGTGGTCCCAGAGACCTCCGCTCCTAGACTGGAGAAATAATTGCTCTCTTCCTTGCTACAAAACATCTACCCTTGCATTTCCAACACTCACAATCCGTCTTGATAACCATTATTCACTACAGTATCGCACGTAACCCAAGATGTAAATATTTTTTAAACAATCTCATCTTTCTCCCTCAGAGCAGCTGATGGATTTGAACTGCTTACTTTGCAGTTAGCAGTTCAATACATACCCTACAGTGCCACCAGGGCCCCTTTAAATCTGTTCAGACCTCCAAAATGACCACAGGAGTTAGGAACTAGCTGATTTTGGCATGTACCTTGATTTAGCAAATGAGGAAATTCAGGCTGAGAAGATTAGGTGGGATTTTTTTTTTTTAATTCTGGTGGCTAAACTATTATTTCCTGACTAACCACCCAGAGATCTTCCACATTGCTTCCCATGTAGAAGATGAAGAATAAAATTATCTTATCAAATGGCCAGGAAGGGTGTTTTGCTGGATTAATTAACTTTTAGGGTCTCTGAACTTATGCATAACATTTTCATATTTCTCTTTGTTTCAGAATGCAAAGTATGGCGAAATCCACTAAATTTGTTTAGGGGCGCTGAATATAATCGGTAAGCATTTTGACAGCTTGGAAAACAAATAGATCTAGTTCAGAGAGCAAAGACAGCAGCACATGTTTTTACTGGTTCATGTAGAGGCCATTGCAACAGTCTGTTTAGTTCTTCCGTTTTTCGATACTATCCTCAAATGTTTTGATACTTGTTCTATATATATTTTTATCATTGACATTGAGATAATAAACAAAAATGCACATGTTTAGAATTTTTCTATTACAAGCAATTCTTTTCAAAGAATCAAAACATTTTGAAGCTTGCTTGGAACATGGTTATAAAAATGCCACAGAAGTTACACTGGAATTTAATTTAACAAAGTAATTAGGCAAATCGACATTTTCATGGCTTTGGGGAAATATCTATTTATAATAGTAATTACAGAAGGTTTTCATTATCTAGTGCTAGTAAATTTTAAAGACAGGAATATAGGGGGAAATGTCTTCTTTTTTCCTGTTGAGTTACTTCCTGAAGGTAATGATAGTTAAAAAAAAAAAAAAAATGTTTTGTATTGTTCAGCAAAGCTGTTTACTTCACAGTTAATGGTTTATATTTCACCGCCCGTGCATCTTAATATTTTGTTGGACATCTTTTCTTCTCTCAAACATGTCTGACCATTTTCTCTGCTCTGTCTAGGTACACGTGGGTGACAGGACGAGAGCCTCTGACTTATTATGACATGAATCTCTCAGCCCAGGATCACCAGACCTTCTTCACTTGTGACTCTGACCATCTGCGTCCTGCAGATGCAAGTATGGAAACTTCTTCAGATAGCTGCTGAGTGGGAGGGTGTTTTTGTTTGTTTGCTTGAGTATCCAAATTTCTACTATTACAACATCTGCCCTATAAACACATCAATGAATAAAATATTAAACTGGAGATTGACCAGTAACATCCTGAATTAGCATACTTTAGGACTTTAGTACAATGGAGTATCAGTGTAGAAATGAGTTCCCTCATTATAAATCTTAAATGGGATTTGAAAAACAAAAAGCAACCTACTTTGAATGTACACGTTAAAGAATCTGTATGTGATAAGAGGCTAATTGAATTCTTGGCTGAAACAGAAGAAAATGTCTTGTTTCAGTGATAATATTTTAGTTAGGATACAGTGAATCCAAATGATTATTGGATGTATTTTAGTGATTTTATATGCCTAACTATAGATTCACAAGGAACCCTTGCAGTGCAACAGTTAAGTAGTTGACTGCTAACTGAAAGGCTCACAGTTCAAACCTACCCAACAGCTTTGAGGGAGAAAGACCTGGACCTGGTAATCTGCCCCTATAAAGATTGTTGTTGCTGTTAGGTGCCATAGAATCAGTTCCAACTCATTGTGACCCTATGTGCCACCGAATGAAACGTTGCCATCCTCACAATTGTTGTTACACTTGAGCCCATCGTGTCAGTCCATCTTGTTGGGTTTCTTCTTCTTTTTCCCAGCCCTCCACTTTTCTAAGCTTGGTGTCCTCCAGAGACTGGTCCCTCCTAATAACTTGCACAAAGTATGAGAGACAAAGTCTTGCCATCCTGTCTTCTAAGGACCCTTCTGGCTCTGTTTCTTCCAGCACAGATTTGTTTGTTGTCCTAGCAGTCCACAATACTGTCAATATTCTTCTTCAACACCATAATGCGAATCTACTGATTCTTCTCTCATCTTCCCTATTTACTGTCCAACTTTCATATGCATATGGAGCAATTGAAAATACCATGGCTTGGGTCAGGCTTACCTTAGTCCTCAAAAATGATTTATTTAAAGATTGTTGTTATTGTTGTTGTTAAGTACTATGGAGTCAGTTCTGACTCACAGTGATCCTATATAGGATTTTCAAGGAGCAACTGGTGAGTTTGAACCACTGACCTTGTGGCTAGCAGTCCAGTGCTTATCTTGTAGTACCACAACAGGTCAGTTCAACACTGTTGCATGTAGTAGCTATGAGTCAAAAATCAATTCAATAGCACCTAACAAGAACATATTGGTTGACTAGCACTGAATAGGAACATGACCTCAGCTAGTCAAGGAAACATTTATTTCCATCATAAAGAAGACTCTGTTTACCATTTCCTAGAGCCTTTCTGTTCACACTGTTCAAGTTTCAAATAATCCTACTGATTATTTTATATTATTAAAATTATTCAATGTAAATAGCTTAACAAGCCTTTTTTTTTTTTTTTTTTTTTAAGGAGTAGCTATCAATTCTTAGGAAGTTGATTTATGAAATCCAAATTTATAAAATAAACTAAATAATTGATATTGGTTTTTTTTTTAGAGATACTTCTTGCCATATTGGAAAACCATGGTGGTGGTGGGCCATGTAGTTGGTTCCAACTCATAGTGACCGTGCATAGGGTTTTCGAGGCTGTTAGTTTTTATAGGAGCAGAAAGCTTCATCTTACTCTCCTGAACAGCTGGTAGTTTTGAACTACAGCCCAACTCGTAACCACTACGCTACCAGGGCTCCTTGGTAAACCATAGTACAATGCATATTCTAAGCATTGAACTTCCCATGATTTTTATTCAGAAACTGTGCTTGTTACATAAAAACTGGGTCTACAGGCAAATTTTGGGTGCAGGAACAGTTGAAGCAAAACCTAAACCTTTTTTGTTTTCTGACCCAACTCATAAATCTTCAGGTGGTCTTAAAGTGATATAGTATCTAGAGCCCATAGCAAGTGTTCAGGAAAATGACAGATAGAAGTGATGCTCTTATTATATATGTGGAAGGAAGTTAGATATCAATAACAATGTCATCTCAGAAATATGTAAAACCATGCTGAATGGAATTAGTCTGTCACAAAAGGACAAATACTGTATATTCCTACTTTCATGAAATATCTAGAATAGGCAAATGTGTAGAAATCAAAGTTTATTGTTGGTAACCAGGAACAGATGAAATGGACACTCATAGCTTAGACGACTGTGACACGACATAATGAACAGATTTATGCCATTGTCTTATACACGTAAAAATATCGAAACAGCAAACATTTTGTGATATATACATATAATATTTATATTCCTCGTGTGGTGCTGTAAGATAAACACTGAATTGCTAACTGTAAGCTTGGCAGTTCAAACCCACCAGCTGCTCCACGGAAACCCTCTACAGGGTCGCCATGAGTTGTAACCAACTCAACGGTATTTGACAACAGCAATATATATATATATATATATATATATATATATATATATATACACACACACACATACACACACACTGCCATCAAGTCAGTTCCAACTGATGGTTACCCTGAATAAGGTTTTTGAGACTGCCAATCTTTACAGGTGTAGAAAGCTTTACAGAAGCAGAAACCTCATCTTTCTCCTGCAGAGCAACAGGTGGATTTGAACCATCGACCTTGTAGTTAGTTCAATGCTTATCCTACAGCGCCACATCAGCACTGGACTGCTAACTATAAAGTTGGTTACCAACTGCTCCTCAGAAACCTTATACAGGGTCGCCATGAGTCAGAACTAACTCCACGGCACTTAACAACAACCTTGTGGTTCGCAATCCAGTGCTTATTGTATGGAACCACATGGTCCCTATATTTATATTTATATTTATTTATATATACTTCAAAAATTAGGTTTCATTCTCTTTAGTCCCATTTTCCATGAAATTTTTTAAGCCCTTCGGATGTATGGAACTATATATACACTACAATTTTCAAAAAGGAAAAATATGTGAAATAATATATGTTCTCTAACATCAAATGCACGTTAATGAGCAAAGAAATATAAAAGTTCTCTTAGAGTGCTATTTTTGTCCTTGGTTTTTTAGTCTTTGGTTTAAATCTGTAGTTTTATGAGCACAGAAAGTTTGATATCAGCAATCGAAGAAAGAACAAGAATAGCAAATCAGCATATATTTATGTGCCGTTGGAGAGTGGGGTTGACCCTCTTGGTAAGTGAAATAGTCTCTGAAAATCAAGCTGAAAGCTATTAATTTAGTCTTTGTCCTGCCATGAGCCTTCCTAATGATGTGTGATGATTGATGTGCCTTTTTCTCTTTTTCGAAAATAGTAATGCAAAAAGCCTGGAGAGAGAGAAACCCCCAAGCTAGGATTTCTGCAGCCCACGAAGCCTTGGAGATAAATGAGTAAGTGGGGGAAATCTGCTTTTAAAAAGGAAATCTTATTCCTTGCTGAAGGTATTCAGTTGCCATTGATGGGATACTTTGAGCAAACTATGCATTTGAATTTGAGGATTCTTTAGGGGAATATTTCTGTATTAATAATACTGTTCTTATGCAGAACAGCCATGTGGAATTGCTTTTTAATCATTTCAGAGAGCAACTCAGTGGCTTAGCTGTGACTCTAAATTAAATTCTTCAAGAGTTATCCCTGGGATATTGTGAAGACATAAAATAAATATAGCTCCTTATATATCTAAAACATTTTGACAGAGAAATGTTTTCACATGTAGAATGCTCATCTGTGCCATCACATTTTCTCCATAGAACCTCTGCTAGTGAGGAACACAAAATAAAGATACAAGGTTAAGTGTGTGTGTGTGTGTGTGTGTGTGTGTGTGTGCATATGTTGTTAAGTGCCATTGAGTTAGTTCCAACTCATAGTGACCCTGGTGGGTTTGAACTACCAACCTTGTTTGCAGCCCAGTGTACATATGGCATTCTGGATAATGTCATAATACACTGGACTACAAAATCGATTTGAACCACACGGTCAATGGTTCAAAGTCACCAGCTGCTCTTCAGAAACCCTATACAGGGCTGTGCATTGAAACCGATTCGACAGCACTTAACAACAACATATAAAACAAAAAGAATTTATCATTTTCAAAATATTTCAAAATTTTTTTAAAAAGTTCAAAATAAAAGCAAAGATAGAGAAAATACTGTCTTTACTACTATTATACTTTTTGTGAGTTACCAAGGAAGGTTAGGAAATCTCTGTTCTGGAGATCTCAGACAATGAGAAAGATCCTTAAAGTTGAATCACAAAAACTCAGGGTTGGCAGGGGCCTTAAAGGTCATTTAGCTAAACCACCCATCATATGTTTGAATCACCGCAACACAATCCTTGCCAAGTGGCCATAACTCTTTTATGAGAAAAAAAGAATTTATTCACTTAAGGGTTCCTGTCATAATAATCCATTGATCTATTTAGTTTGAGTCTATCATACAGCATATTTTCCAGTTTCTTGTCATCTGAAAATTTGACATACCTGCCTTTTGTGTGTCATCCAGGTTTCTGATTAAAACTTTATGGCCAGGAATAGAACCCTGTGACCTGACATATAGAAGCTGCTCTCCAGGTTTATGTCTTCATGAATCACTGCACTTGGAGATTGTTCAGCTAGTTCCTCAGCCACTCAGTCCCACTGTGATTCAGCCCATATTTGTCCATTTTGATCTTGAGAATGCCAGTTGTAGCTATGGGTCTTTCATGTATCGTTTATCTATTAGATCAGTTGAGTCAATTATCTTAACACAGCCTGATTTATTTATTCTTAGTGAGTTTAAATTGACTTCTAGTGGTCACTGCTTTTATGTTTAATAGTCTATTAACATATGCTTCCAAGTCACTATTCTGTAGTTTGGAAAGTCTGCCTTCTTCCTCATTTTGAATATTTGTATCACATGGGCCATCTCTCCTTTTGGTACCTCTCCACTCTTTGTGATTTCACGGCTACCCAAAGTGCAATTCTCTGACCTGCCTAAATAGTCTGTTGAGTTCCTGCAACCTAATCTGCCCATCCCAATATACTGATTTATTTAGAATAGATCATTTCAGTTGCTATCTTACATCTTTCTACCCATTTTAAAGTTTAATTTCTTCTCCCCAGTTCAGTCTGATGATCTTTCTCCTTGATGGAGAAGCCAGGATGAAAGTAGGAGTTAGAGAGTTCTGCTTTCTCTTTATTGTCCACTGCTATTGACGATAAACCTTCTTGGTTTTGATGTTGCTCTTGTGTTGTTTGTCTTTTTTTTTTGCTTATTTGTTTTTGTGGTGGTTTTGGAGGAAAGGGAGTGGTACTAGGGTCTTAAATGTAATTTATAACAGGGACTGGGTGGCTGTCTTTAGCATTTTGTTTGATTTTGTTTTGTAAGCTTCAGCTAATTGGGAACTGCAGCTCTCCTGACATTACTTTTACAAGTTCATTCTACTCTCTTGTAGTCTGTCATGACATGGCTTCTTTCCATCTTTTCTACATGTCTTTTCAAAGTCTGACCTTGTGAGAGATCTCTGTGTAGCCATACTGGTTCCTTAAGGCTCACCCCTCTTTTCTTCCTTAGAAACTCATTTCTGACTGCAGTCATAATTCCACTTTGGAAAGCTTCCTAACTGTCTGAAACCGTTTATTTCTCCTGAATCTCATGCTATTGAATCATGCTTCTTTTCTTTGAATTTTTTGACATTCATCTTCCCTTCTTTGGTTATTCTGAACCCCAAATTGACATAGTACCTCTCTCTGAATGTCCCTATCGATTTTCATTTCACCTACTATTTTTTTTCTTCTTGGTCAGAATTAGGTCCAGAGTTGAAGTTCCCCTAATTGCTTCCTCTACCATCTGGGAGATAAAATTGTTACCAGAGTAAGTCACGAACCTGTCTGGTGCCCAGCTTCTAACCAGATAAGACTTCTGTTAGCCCACCGATGTTTGGATGGTTGAAACCCCCATCACTCCACTTCCTTGCTTCTGTCTGTGTATTGTATTGTGACAAGGATGCATCATCTCTGTCTTCCATTGAGCTGAGTAGTCTGTTTTGTACTGTCCAACCGTCAGTACTCCTGTTGCTCTCCTTGTTCCTTCACTTCGTCTCCTTAGCAGGTTTCTACACCAGTTTCATGAGTTTCCACACAGATGCTTGTCTTCTTGATCAACAGTGCTAATCTGCCTCTCCTCCTAAGATTGCCAACTGGAAATAAAAATAAGCAAGCAAGCAAAGCAAGCCAGCTAGCCCCAAGTGGTCTTGATTCCCAGCCCACCAACTACAGTCTTATATTTTGTGTCTGCTCCTCTCGATTTTCACTTCATTATCTTTGACCCATATTTATATGTCTGCATCTGAAGACCTAAGGATCACTTCTGTGGCCTGCACCAGTGATTTTCTCCAGTGAATCACAGGAGAGTTTCAGCATCATTATGATTTTTTCCAAGTCATATCTGCGCCCCCTTCCCCGCCCCCCCCCATAGTAATTGGTTCTACTGCCTTTTTTTCTGGACATTTTTCTCCTTACCTCACCACATTCCATTTGAAACCCCACTGACCAGTGCTGTCTCAAATTAGAGGGGTTGACAAAAGAACTTTCAGAAACTTCCTCATGGCTAAGGCTGACTGGTAGCCACAAACCTTGTGATAGCTGTAAGTTCAGACTTCTTTTCCTACATTCTGTCATAGTTTATAAATAGTAAAACTAACATTTGGATTTGCTTTCTGTTTATTTTCTCTTTTGATCTGATGGAGAGTCTTGTCTGTAGGGAGAAATGGCCACACTTGAGGCCATGGAGAAGAAGGAGGCCACAGGACCCAATACAGGGCTGGTGTGGTCTCTTCCGGCCTCACTACTTCCCTATTACTTCCCTTCTCTTTGGCAGTGGGTTGTTTCTTACAGTTTGGAAAACTTAAATTTCTACTTACTCTCCTTGTTAGTTAGCTCCATATCCTTTCTGGCTTCTTTCCTTACAAGATTATTGAAAGAATTCTATGAGATGGTATATGTTAAGTGCCTAGTACAGCGCTTAATCTACACTAAGCAACAAGTGATAGCTGTTGTTGATAAAGGCATGAGAGTTAACCCTTATTAGCTATGTAGATGGGTCTGATTTTGAGCTACAGGTTCTCTGAAATAGAAAATCAGTGTACCTAGTAACGAGATGTTGAAGTACTGTTTTTTGTTTGTTTGTTTGTTTTAAATGAGTAATTTAAGGAATTCCTCACTCTGAAGGAGCTTTAGATAGAAAAGAATCTGTGTTTAGTAAACTTATATATAGTAGCTCTAACTTTGAATTTTGGAAGGAGACATTTAATAACAGTTATTTTCATCACCATCACTGGTTGACATTTTTTGGGCATTGGCCACAGGCTGGCTACCATATTGAGCACTTCACCTACATCAGCTCACTTAACCTTCACAACAGCACTGGAAACCAGTGGACTTCGTGCTATTCTCCATCAGAGAAGCAGAGTAATAACTCGCCAGATCTAATAAGGGGTGGAATAAGGTCTGTGGGACTCCAGAGCCCTTGTTCCTACCACTCAAGCTAAAATACAGGCGTTTCTTTTATGCCGTTACTTTGTGTCAACAACTATAAACAGTGGTACATGAACCAGTTGGCCACTCTGCATGTTCTGGTATGACTCCTTGCATGCACTTCTGCAGTCTGTTGCAATTCCGTTGGATATATAACTGACGGTGGCTGTTATCTGAATGGGCAGGTGCGCAACTGCTTATATTCTCTTGGCTGAAGAGGAAGCGACAACCATTGCTGAAGCAGAGAAGCTCTTCAAGCAGGCGCTGAAGGCTGGAGATGGTTGTTACCGGCGTTCTCAACAGCTACAGCATCACGGATCCCAGTATGAAGCCCAACATAGTAAGGTTTCCACCGGCTTGACACATTGGGGTCAGAATTATGAAATGATGAATGAGAGCAAAGTTTTAGCCCCATTCAAATGATTTCTCTTAGATGAGAACGAAGATTGGCTTTTTCCTCTCTTTTATTACTTTTTGTTTTCTGTCCTGTAAAAGTACTTGGTGCACAATTAACTTGTAGTTTCATCATTACTTATGTGCAGATTCTCTTTTCTGCCTACAGATTCCTAACCCCAGGAAAAAGTGATCATAACGTTGACTGCAAACATTTTTCCTCCGAGAATTTGTACACATTTCTGTTCATTGAGTGCTTCTCTGTCCCAGAATTTTAAGTCCTAGTTGGGAAACAGAACTTAATCATGTTAGTGTTACCAAAAGGATTTATCATGCGGGTCTTCTACAGCATAGAGTGAAATAGGACAATGAAGAATGTTAAGAGTTATCGGTGATGGAACATTTAGCTCTTATATTTAGCTCTTATTTAGTGTTTGGCTTCTTGAGAGGAAGAATCATGTGTTGTATTTTCCTTTTTTGATAGTAAAAAATAACATTTTGTTTAAGATAACTCTTTCAAATGAAACCTTTCACTTCGGTGTGCCAAACTGAGAGTCAGTAATATTTGAGGGGACGTTATAGAAATAAAACAACAAAATCATTTCTGGAATTCTCTAAGCCCCTTGACTAGTCAACTGGTTGTGCAAATAAAATAGCAATAGCTGTTGAGAGTGGGAGTAGAGAGGAAGAGGAAGAAGAGTGTCTTCATCATCCATTCAAAAAGTGGGCTGTTTCTTTAAAGCAGGATTACTCGTGCCTCAGTGCTGTCGCCTGAAACTTGGAGAGTAGGCATATATCTCATTCGTATTTGAGATTATAAAATTAAATTTCAGTGTTAAATTTGGATTTGATTAGAAACTGAATGCATTAGTCTCTATGACGCAGGACTTTGGAATACAGCTTGTATGTGCGTGAATCTACACCACCACACATAAAAGTTTTCATATTTATTTGCATGAGTATATGGGTTGACCAAGTCTCTCATCACCATCCATACCTCACTCTTAAAAAAATAAAATATTATGTATAGCACAATGAATTTTGGAAACATACGCAATAAACGTCTATTATGTAAACTAAATGAGAATTAATGTCTAAAATTACATAACCTATTATACAGCTTAAGAATGCTCTTATTTCTGTTCTTCTCAAAATTAAATCTTTTCAGCCTGTTGCCTAATCTATCCAAAAAATATAATCATATCTTTAAAATAATTTGTAGGTACTTGGCAAATTTCCTGCACACATCTTTTTCTCATTGTTTAAAACTTGAAATGTTAGGACTTTGGTATTAACATCTTTTAATAGCTGCATATTATACATGTACTTAATCTATAACAGGTGTGTCGTATTTTTCTAAAACATGGTAATTTTATTGAGGATTAAGCTTATGCATGTTCTCACTGGTCTGAAAACACGTCCAAAAGGACATATAATTGAATAAAGGCTGAAGCTAAGAAGTTGTTACTGTACTGTTTAAGAGCCATTTTGGTGACTATTCTTATAACTATTTAGCTTGTCAGTGCTTTCTCTGACACTGAGGTAGTTTTTCATTTTGTTGCATACCCTATTGTCATATTTGGAATGTGTTATATTGCCATCTAAAATAGACTGCTTTGGGGACCTGGAGATGATTATGATGTCACTAGTGCTAGAGAAAGAATAATACAAAACAGAAGTTCAAGATGAGGCTTCTCCAGAGTTAATGTCAGGAAGGAAAAAAATAGTTCAGCAGGATGCAGCCTGAGCTTCACCTCTTTGCATCTTTACCCAAAGCATGAACGCTCTAAGAATGTGGAATTCGTACTTGTAAACTGGACAAAAGTAGGGATGTTCAGTTTCTCAGCACCTTGTGGCAGATGATTTTATTTATCAAATATCTAACATCCCAATTGAAGAGCACAGATTAGGTCAACAGTCATGTGATTTGACCTTTGCAAGTCTAACATTGACTTCACCCTGGAGCTGTCCCTCTATTAACGAAGTTGTCAATGCTCCTGGCAATAAGGAAATGTCAAAAGAAGCAGTCTGTTCTCTTGGGCGTTCCTGTAAGGACATGGCCAATCAGCCTCTGTGTTTTCTCTTGCTCAGCTGAAATCTCATGTTCCCTTTTTAAATTTTGGTGTTTTATATCTCCCTCTTCAGGACGAGACACCAATGTCTTGGTCTACATCAAACGAAGGCTAGCGATGTGTGCCAGAAGACTCGGGAGGACCAGGGAAGCAGTGAAAATGATGAGAGATGTGAGTTTGATTGTGTTTGGGACTGGAGGAAATGCACCTGACTTAGGAGGAGGAGCCCTGGGAGCAGCAGTAGCAGAGAGTATGAGTGATGGATGTGCTGGCCCCGTGAGCTCTTGAGCCAGACTACCTTCAGCAAGCCCCCAACTTGCTGAACTTTCCTGTGCCTTAGTTTAACATCTGTAAAATGGGGATAGGATTAACAATCTTAACAATTACTTCCTATGATACTTGTGAGAATTAAATGAAATAATACAAATAAAGCTTTCAACAGTGACAGGTGTGTAAAACAACTGCAATAAATGTCCCTATTATTAAACTTCGAGTCGCTGTAGGATAAGCACTGGACGGCAAGCTGCAAGATTGGTGGTTCAAACTACCAGCTGCTCCTCAGAAACCCTATACAGAGACGCATTTAACAACACTTAACAACAACTGTTAAACTTTTGGGGCTGTAGCTAGAAGCCAAGAATGAGCTCATCCATTTTGGTTATCTGGCTTTTTCTGCGTTGTTGTTGTTGTTGTCAGGTGCCATCAAGTCGGAACCAACTCATAGCGACCCCATACACAGCAGAACGAAACAATGTTTGATCCTGGGCCAACCTCACTACCGCTGCCACACTTGAGTTCATCAATGATGCCACCTGGCTGATCCATCTCGTTGGGGGTCTTCCTCTTTTTCTCTGACCCTCC